CTCACTGACTCACCGATCATCAAAACTCTAAGGCACTTCTAGCAGACCTAGAAGCTTCAAATTTGGAATATAAGTAGTGTTTGGTGTATGAATCAAGGAAAAACTAAAATATTTGGGGGCACGGTAGTGCAACCGCCAAGTCGAGTAAAATTTTTCAATTTCGGTCCAGTTTTCTAGATACATAACTGCTGTCTACAAAATACAAAAAGAAATGAGATCCCATCAAAAACAATACTTGTCAAAAAAACCAAGTCTCGCAACTCAGTTGTTCTACGGTAAAAAGTTGTGAGATCCATGTAATACCAAGTCCAGGCCAGGAAATCTTTAACGTTTTACATAAATATATTGACTTGGCCATCGCATGAAAACACGTGTAAATTAAATTATTTGGTGCGATGGCCAAGTCAATATATCCTGGACTTGGTATTACATGGATCTCACAACTTTTTACCGTAGAACAACTGAGTTGCGAGACTTGGTTTTTTTGACAAGTATTGTTTTTGATGGGATTTAGATTTTCTGAAGCTAAATCAGACCAAAGGATAGTAGGTAACTAAAGGTCTAGCCTAGCGCATAACTTGTTTTTGTTACGTCAAATGTCAGCAAGACTTCAAATGGCAATGCCAGATTTTGTATGGAAGGTGGCGTCTTTTTTTTTCGCGCGGCCATCGACCAAACTTTGTTTTTTGATTACAAAATAGTGTAATAAACCAAACTTACTATGACATGTATACCTCTCAACTCAGTCTGAACTGAGTTACGAGCATTAGAAGTTTGATGATTTACATACTAGATTTGCTTTTTGCGCGCAAGTTTTGTAAGAAATTGCAACAAAATATTGCGATATTTTCTTATTGCGCTGATTCTACTCCACACCGATGTCTGGAGCCTTTAATGGATGGTATTGTTTGTTTGCACATACAATGTCACTATTTTGTTGCAATTTCTTACAAAACAGGTTGGTTATAGACAATTTGGTTTATGGTGACGGCAGAGTAGAATACATTTGCCACCAAGCCCTACTCTTCCCGCGGGTGTCGTAAGAGGCGACTTAGGGACTACACATCAAACAGAGAATGGGCAGCAGCGCTCTCTGAAAAACATCAATCTTTTAAACTGCGATCTCCAACCCGCCTGCCAAGCGTGGAGATTATGGCAAAACCCTCCACTATAGTGGAGGAGGCTCATAGTCCAGCAGTGGACTGTAAAGGGCTGTTGATGATAGACAATTATTTTTATTACATTTCAGCATTTTGTCTAACTACCTCCGGGTCAAACGTCTAACTCTTTATTACTAAATTGCGAGCACTAAAACGAGGAAACTCCCATGAGAGAACCACTCATGTTATTGGAACGTGCACGTTTCGTTACATAAAGCTCTTCCTATCACCATACTGCAGTTAATGCCACATACAGGGTGTTACTTTGCATTCTTGCCATATTTACAGAGGTTACTATATTACTGATACTGAACACAAATCCGTAAAAAAATAATGCCCGAAAAAAAATTTTTTAAATCTTGAGTATTTTATTTTATCGACAATCTGTTAAACACACCACTAATTATCGTAACGCATGCACATCACTTGTTGGCGATGGCGATGGAGACTTTTTAACTTTTTATTGTATTTTTAAATATCTATTGCAATCTATTGTCTTTAAAATGTCTTTTTGACACTTGTAAAAAACTGAGAAATCCATCAAACACAAATCACGTTATAAATAATACAAAAATGACTGAAGTGTATTCAAACAACGAATAATTTAATCAAAATGGTGCTTGGAGTGTCTGCAAGACGTCTTAGACGAAAAAATGCTTGATGACGTACCCTTAGCGTTACACCAAATGCTCTACTACCAGCAGGATGGTGCTCCCTCACAATGAGGACGTCAAGTGTGCGAATAATACGTTTGCTGAACAGTGGATTGGACGAGGGGTCCAGTAGCTTGGCCACCACGATCCTCGGACCTGACACCAATGGATTTTTGGAGTGACTCGAAACGACTGGTATGCGCAGAAGAGATAAACAGTGTAAACGCGTTACATGAAAGGATTGTTTTAGTGAAACTGTGATACAAAACGTTTATGTGTTGCGAAAACTAAAGCGAAAAACCTACGCTTCGCCGTGCTAGACTGTGCCTTCATCAGAAAGGAGGACACTTTGAACACTTGCTTCGCAGTACGTAAACTTTGTAAGTAGGAACTTATAAATAAATAATTAATTGTGAATAAGGTGATTTCATTTCATACTTAATTTATTAATTTGTAAAAATAGGGTACAATGTTGTAAATTAATTGAAACCCTATTAATTATTACGTATTTTTGACGGTCCTAAGCCCGTAAAGTAGAAAGGAAAATCTGTAATCAACTGAAGAGTATTTTAAAATAGTTATTATGACTGGATAAAAAGGCTGGTACCCAAAGCCATAAAATTAAGAACTAGGCCACGCCCACTAGGTTTATTCCACTTGCACCTGTAGAACGTGCGAGACAAAATTGGTTTATTCCAATTTGTACTGAAAAACCAAATTTACTAAAATCTTAGTGTACTTTCTTTATGGGAGTCTCTTGTTTATCTTAAATAATAGGTATTGTTACCTACTTTTATCTCTGTGAATATGGCAAGAATGCAAAGTAACACGGTGTATACAGGATGTTAGGTAAATGGATGGGTACATGAGCCGACACTAGCCTATGTTATCATCATCTTATTTTTTTTAATTTTCATATAAAATATTTTTTATAAAAGCCGATTTTTATGAAAATTAAAATGAAGATCAATTTTCTGACTTCACCATACCATTTATATGCCCATATTAACATGGGCTAGTGTCGGCTCATATACCAATTTACCTAACACCCTGTATATGTACATACAAGAGAGTGCCTTATCACCTATACATAAACGCATGAATCTAAATTTCAAATCTACCGCCTCCAGACTTAGCTAGAAGGAATACAACCTAGACTCCCAGACTCCCATTAAAATTAAAGCAACACATGTTCTGGACAATACAGTGTTCTCGGTAAATAAAATATCTGAGATCGCACATCTTATTCTGTTCGCCAGCGTAAATATCAGTTCCACGGTAGGGATGTTATGGATATCCGTAACCGTAACCGAAACTGTCGGAAATCCGAAATAAAAAAATATCCGTAACCGAAACCGATTCGAAAGTTTCAGATGATTTCGGATAAAGGCGGAGTCTAAATCTTAATATTTTTAATATTTGTTACTTGTCTGGCATCCCCTGGCACCATCTGATATCATATACCCGCCTGTTTTACCTTTATCATAGGTACCGTCATAATAATAATAATAAAATCATTTACTTGCAAGAACATGGTTACAGATTGGTGTTAATTTAATTAATTCCAGCATATTCTGACCCATGCGACGTGCAAAAGTTCTTGTTCTTAAAGTTATGTTAATTATTATTGCTACATTTAGTCTTAGATTTCACATATTTTTACAACTCAAAATACTTATTTCACTCATAGTTGTTTTTCATATACCATGACATAGTACATATAGTGGCTATGTGGGTCGCGCAACATCTTGCTATTTGAATTTTACCTTTTAAAATTATAATATTCGTAACCGAAATTATCCGAAACTTTCGGATAATCCGAAATGATTTACTATCCGTAACCGTAACTGAAACCGGTATAATATTATTCTAATATCCGTAACCGTGTCCATAACCGAAGCTTCATATCCATAACATCCCTACTCCACGGTACGCTCTTTCGGAAAACTAAGTAACCACAAAATTCTGCCTTGAGAATATTCTATGTGTAAACGTTTGTATAACGTAAAATGTCGTAAAATCAATTGTGGTATCTATCATCTGTATCTTCTGGTAGATTTATGCCCGTTTTCACCATCAATCCCTAATTTTTAATTGACTCCTTTGAAAACAAAATTCCTGTTATGTTACCATAGCTTAGGGGTCACTTAAAAATTAGGGATTGATAGTGATAACGGGCATAAGGCAAGTATTACTTACTCGTGTGGTATTTCGGAAGTAAAACTCAAAACTTTATTTAATTTTTAAGCACAATCAATGTTTTTGATGGATCGTATAGCACTGATTCTATGACCGAGATTGAGTAAAATTTTAGCGCTATTATGGTATTCTATAAACTCGTAAGGTTAGTTATAGAACGTTACAAACATCATCACAACATATATTTTTTATTAACTTTCTGGCCTCAACACATTTTGTAGAAGGATATTAAAATAAGTTTTGTTTGTTACTTGTAAGTTTACGTCTTAAAAATCTCTGAAAACTTCGCAAAACTCAAGTTTCCAGCCTTAAGCTGTAGCAGCCATTTATATTGCAATACAGCATTCTCAGCGTGAATATTAGAATCCAGCTTGATGTTTCAAAGGCATATTCTTTGACTACAAAGCTACTTGGCCCATTACAGCGAGCGAAGCTGTTCCTACGCGAGGTACAGTCTGGTGGGAAAATCTTTGAAAAATGGACGATTTATTGTTTTAAACTTTCATGGTCGCTAACATAATTAATAAACAGTGGTACGGGAGGCAATCGTAATAAAAGACTGCGAAAGAAAGTAGACAGATATGTCTCTCACCCGCAAGTTTCTTCAGTTACTCCGTGACCATGGGGCGCTTGCAACAGTGCCGAAATATCGGAAACTTAAAATTAAGGTACATGGTAGCAATCCCGTCAGTAATAATAATGGAGGATTTTCTATTATTCATTAATGACTGTGACTGAAATGCCGAATAAACTTGGACCCTAGGTGTTAAATTAAACTAGTGTGTAAAGCGACCCATATTTTGTAGAATCAATAAAAACTTTGACAATGCATTTTGAGTATTTTGACATTATTTACCTAAGTCCGATAACTTTCTTCCTATCTCAATGTATGAGAACTATATGCTAGTTCTTTCTAAGATCAAGATTCTAGCTAAATGAAATTCAGAAATAACTACTAGAAATGATGTAATTAGAAATAAAAACTTTACAAAAAGAATATTGAACATGCATCCGACTGTACAAAACGCGAGTGCGCTTGGCAAATCCATTGCCTTTCCATAAATAAAATATCAACGTCCGAAGCTGTGTCTGCATTTCATTCTTACAATATTTACTTGGACATATTTTACGTGCACCAATGCTCGTAGAAACCTCGGTGTAGGTGTGTGCCATACCTGAAACAAAAAACATTAATATTTAGTCAAAGTGGAATGAACCTACATGTCTTTAGGCTAATGGCCGCCAAAGACTACTAATGGAGAGGATTTGAGTCACAGTGACCAGTCGTTGGTTGAAACGAACGAATGTGGACCGACGTAAGAGTAGTCATTTCTACTAGTATTTAAGTATGTAATCTGTAAGTCTAGATATTAGTACGTCACTACCTTGTTTAATATACCACGCAATTTTGTATACCCATTACAAGATACACTATACAAGAATGCATGGTAAATTCAGTGAACTGCTCCCGAATCGAATGTACCTACTACTGCTATTTCTATTTATTTATATTAACCGGCAGACAGTGGTGACTGAGTTTGTTGCGGCGCTTCTTCTCAGTTGGTCTCGAAGCGCTGGTAGGGTAAAAAGATTATGAGACATGTAGAGGCTCCTTAAGAGCAAAATGACGATTTGTAAGAACTATTTATTAGTCTAAACAAATAAAGAAATTTTGACTTTGACTTCAGGTAGGCGCTGGATGCAGGCCGCCCTATGGCTGAAATGATGAACGAATTATGTAATGTTATATCTGCCACTGATAGAGTCAGATGACTTTTGTCTCTGAGCTAAGTTAATCCTGATCCATGGAAGTCAGTCTTAATAGAATGTGAAATGGCAAACGAAACAGAGCGAATATTCCTGGTTACAAAGTAAATGGATCTCCAATGTTTGACAGATTTCGTGGAATGCAAATACTGTGGCATGGCATTCGATTAAGCTGTACGTCCAACGATATGTTCAATGTTCATCTAATGGAATGTTATAAATCAGAGTTATTAATTAAGCGAGACGTCTGATATGAAATGTGCCTAAAGGTAGTCTATGGTAGGTACATAGGTAGTAGTATAGATGACCCACGCTGAACTGTCCCACCAAACTCAATGACAGGGGGGCGCTACCATCGTTCAACTATATGGTTTCCAACATGGCAAAAATCTGAACCAGCGATCCGGTATTGACGGTGGCGCCCCACTGTCAATGTCATCGACATGACAATCCAGTATTTTGGAACTATAGTAAAGTTTTCTTGTTACTTTTACATAGCTAAACCAATTCTGACGATTATTTCAACGGATAGATTGAACCTTATTGATTGACATAGGCTACCTAAAAACTTTGAAGAGGCTGAAAATAGACACGCAATTACATGTCGCCACTAAAAAGTTTAAACTAAACCCATAATGGTTTGGCTTAAATAAGTCTATTACAGGGAATTCCCCTGTCGGGTATTATAATAAAGCCTAGCACATAGCCTAGACCAGTCTAAGTCCGTGGCCTGACTGTGAGCGATTACCTGGATAGACTGAGGCGTTATAGCCTCTAGCAGCAGCTGATTTATTGAATTTCCTTATTTGTAGCTTATTCAATGGATTGACTTATGTAGACAATGTAATGTAGAGTCAATTTGAGTTAAAAGCATATCAGACTTTGTCTATTATTTTACTCATCTCTCACTTTTGTCTGTGTTATTGTTAAATCGCTCTTAGTGCATCTACATACGAGTAAGATGTGGGTCAGTGTTTGGCTTCATGTGCCGTCCTTAGCTCAAATTTTGAATTTTGCGGACGCGAACTACTTATTCACACCGTATTCTTCGTGCCATCTAAAAACTTAAGATCTAATTAAAATTGCACTTATTGAACTCAGAATAAAAGTGAGTTTGCACTGCATCTGTTTCTGTGTACATCCGCGGCCTGACAGCGAGCGGCCACGTGGCGCAGGGCGCAGGGCGGGGCGCGATCGATACCGCTCACGTGCGATCCCAGCCCGCGTCTTTGTCCGACACTTTGCTTTACGATTGTGCACCCTACCGCGTTGAATTAGGGTTTTTCGCGCTGATTTGTGACAGTGCCCTTTTGGTTAAAAACTAAGGCATGTATTTAAGTTTGTAAGTAAGTCAACTGAGGTATGGATGGAGCTAGATTAAGTCTTAATTGATTAGACTTCTTAAAAGATATCGCTCACGTGCGATCCCAGCCCGCGTCCTTTGTCCGACTCTTTGCTTTGCGATTGTGCACTCTACTGTATTGAATTAGGGCACTTAAGTTTTTCGTACTGTTTGTGACAGTGTCCTTTTGGTCAAAAAGCAGATTTGTAACTACGTGTGTAAGTTAATTGAGTTAAAAAGCGACATTATAAGAGTCTTATTTGGTTAGACTTCTCAAAAGATCTCACACACGTGCTATCCCAGCCCGCGTCCTTTCTCTGGCACTTTCTTTGCGAATGTGCACTCTACTGTATTGAATTACGGCACTTATGTTATGCACTGTTTTGTGACAGTGCCCTTTTGATTAAAAACTAAGGCAGATTTTTAAGTTTGTATGTAAGTCAATTGAGGTATGAATGGAGCTAGATTAAGTCTTAATTGATTAGACTTGTTAAAAGATATCGGTCACGTGCGATCCCAGCCCGTGTCCTTTGTCCGATACTTTGCTTTGCGAATGTGCACTCTACCACATGGAATTAGGGCGCTCAGATATTTTATTTATTTGTGATAGTGCCCTTAGCTAAAAGGCTGATTTTTAGACTGAGACTTTGGAGATTGTTAGTAAGTTTATTGAATTTTAAAGCGATATATTAAAAGTTTATTACGATTAAGCTTCCAAAACATGGCTCACCGGTGTCTTTTGTCCGACACTTCGCGACTCTACCGCATGGTATTGGGATACTTTGGATATCGATGGCTTTTCGTACTGTTATAATATTATGTGGAAGTCTTTAAAGTATTTTTTAAACTGTATGTAATTTAATTGAGTTAAGATTTACATATTTAATTAAATTTCTTAAAAGATATCGTTCATACACGTGCGATGCGAGCCCAAGTCTTTTGTCCGACACTTTGCTTTGCGAATATGCACTCTACAACGTCGAATTAGGGCTACGTTTTTTGTTTATTTGTAACAGTGTCCTTTTAGTTAAAAAGCAGCCTTTAACTATGAAAGTTACCTAATTGAGTTAGGCAACAACATTAAAAAAGTCTTATTTGGATTACGGTCCTGAAAACCAATTATCGAACACGCTTCCGTTTCTTCTTAACCCTACCACTGCTTCAGGACAAAAATGTAATATGTATTCGACATAACAATACAGTAATTTCATATTTCATTGAGTTACCTACTTAATAATTCAATTTATAAATAGGTAGCTCTACAAAAGTTTCTGACATAAGTAATTTTTTCTCGTATAAATTAATAAACAGCTTAAATTTTATTTTCACACAGAAGCTCAAAAGTTAGCGTGTCCTCGCTTTGCCAAACTGTTTTTATTTAAACACATTTTTATGGCTTTCTTTGGAGCTGTCAGCGTGTTAGGCTCGCAATTTTAGAACAAAGAACCCATATCGATGTCTGGCGGTGTCGGGACGACCGATATTTCGCTTTTTTACCCTAAACCTTAAAAAATATTACGTGTAAAGTGAAACGTAATGCTTAGGCTTCGGTTTTTGTTCATTATTGTGGCAGTCTTAACGTGTTTTAGTATTTTAGTTTATTGTATGTTTAGCTTGAATTTTACTAACAATGACAATCATTATATTAAGCCTTCATTGAGACAGAAAAAAAACATTTTTTTATTTTGCTTTGATAGAAAACTAACAAAAAAACTTTTTAGTCGTTTATTGACCACTCTAAAATCTATCTATATAAATAAAAATGAATTGCTGTTCGTTAGTCTGATTAAAACTCGAGAACGGCTGGGCCGATTGAGCTGATTTTGGTTTTAAAATGTTTGTCGTAGTCCAGGGTAGGTCTAAACGGTGAGCAAATAAGGAAAAATTGCTATGGCTTATTTATTGCCTTTAAGGCGGAACAGAGTTCGCCGGGTCAGCTAGTAAGAAATAATTATGTACACCAAATAAGTAAGTTTAAAAACATAGTAAGTATACTCTACCTGTTTCAATTATGTTTAAAGATACAGTAAGTACTGTATCTGTTTGAATTATGTTTAAAGATATATTTGAATTTGAATAATATCTATCAAATAATCTTTGAGGTTATTGCTAATTCAGTAAGCACGATACCGTCAAATAAATCGCCTCACATTACACTATAAAGACGTAAACCATAAAACCTCCATTCATAAATCCCCACAAAAAAAATAAAACCTAACAGGAAGAACTTTACCGAATAAGCTATCGTATAAGCATAACAGAGATTAAAGATAAAGGTTCGCATGTAAATAAGGTGAGAACAAACGTTGTAAAAATAAACTCGGCTCGAAACTAATTGTTCTTCGACGCTTATCGGCGCACCCATCGAGGAGCAGTAAAAATTTAATGTGGCGTTTGCCTAATTTCTCCTCGAGGCTATAAACTACCGCTTTGATGTGCGAATATAACCCTTAAAACAACGGTAGAGGCGTTTATTTTGAACTCGAACACGATAAAACTCCACGTGCCGAGATGCGGAATCGATTGGAAAACAGCTGACGAACGATGACGTTTGTAAACGGTCGAATCGAAATTCGAATACGCAGAAACGAGTGTTCGTTGGAAATTGACGTTGGCATCATGGCCGACATTGAGCAATGGTGTGAGACGTTTTTGAAATCGAATTGAATTCTTGGGATTCTCTTCTATGGCTATGGTGTCTGTCAAACACTGATCAACGAATCGCAGTATAGGAAACAATAAGAAACAATGGCATTTAAGAATTTGCTAAGACGAATAAATAAACATCTTAATTCATATGTTTTCTGCAAAAAGGATTTGGTAATGCGCTATTACACATCCCAGTACTTAAACCCTACCATTGCTCCGGGACATTAAATGGACCAGTGCTGAGAAGAAGCAGCGCAAGAAACTCACCCTTTGAAGAATGTTTTATAAAATAGAAGAGAGTCAGAAAACAAATTCATACTAAGAACAAGAAAGTATTAGAGAACACATTACAGTTAAAGTAAGTGTTAGTTAACCACCCACTAAAAGTTAATCCAGATTTGAACGAGAATTCAACCT